GTTCTTTCCATCTCAATTTTGCGAAAAAAAATGTTTCATAATAAGTTTTTGTAGAATTTGTTCTACATGAGGTTAATCTCAAAGTAGTTTAGTAATGTCGGACTAACACAAGTGGGTTGCGACGTCACAAATTTTGTAGTAGTAGATGATTCTACGTAATGTTTGCTGTAGTCGCGCTGGAGACACTTGAGTGGCACACCATCACGCACGGTCTTGTGAGACCCTAGCAACTTAAAGCAATTCATCCACTCATCATTGGATTCATCTTCGCTGCACTCATCTGTAATGACGTGAAATTGTAAAACATAACAAACCCAAAACACTGCTCCTATTCTTCATAAAATAGTTATAGAACAGAATGGTATGATCTTGTAGCAGCGATAATTCTGTGTAAACATGTGGCTAGGATGCCTGTGCGCAAGGTAGGCGATAAGAAGAAATCACCGTAAATAAAAAAAGTAACACTCATGTAACTGATTAATGGTGAATAACGATTAAATTACTAAATAAAATTTGCTAACACTATTGTAACGTGATAATAATTAGCTACGCTTATGGACCTAATGTTTAGTTACGTATATAATATGGTCCTCACCAGTCTCCTTCGATGCTCCGCGGAGCCTTCTCACCCGACGTGTTCGTAAGCGTCGGCTCGTGGCCGTCCTATTGCCTTGCTTGTCTCTGCCCAGGGCGCCGCCGGGGGCCGATGCTGAATTAAATATGATGAGGTTACTTTACTTTACTTCGACCCGTAGTGAAAGTGACGTGGCATATTTCTTGTATAAAATTAATGGGAATATACCAGAATTCGGACATTAGACTTAGAAAAAGTTAGGTCCACTTCGGTCAAGTTCCTTTAATGTTAAATATAAAGAAAAAAAAGAACCTGGCTATCTTGACCAAACCACAGATTCTAAGAAGATAGAAAACCTACGTTTTTAAAACACTTAGCTAGTCTAATGTGCGTTTTAAGAAGAAAAGAAACCTCGCGTGTCTTGAGAAGGGAATTTTGTATAAACCTCGTGGGACCTATTGGTAACAGGTTTATTTTAGGGAACGTTTTGCACGACCAGGTAATGTTAGAACTAGTAAAAGCTTTACGTCGACCCATGGTAGAACTAGTACAAGCTTTACTTCGACCCATAGTTGAACTAATACTAGGTTCACGTATTTAAAGCATTACTTCAACCGTGACTTCGATCGGCCAATGGCAGAAGTGAAATTACCTTCAACGTAAAGCAATGCTTAAAAAATATAACTCAGTATTCACTGCAGTGAGTGACAGAGAGCGCATTTTCTCATCGACGAAAACGTGGGGGGGTTGGTCATGTATCACCCTATGAGGGCTAAATGAAGAACTGGGGTATAAAATAATATTCAAGGGTGAATTAAGTTGAGAATTACACTAAGCTAAATACATCAATGATGACAATATTTGCGTGGCAATCTTACTGTGACATGTTAAGTTGTGTAGTTTTATGAATAAGTTTGAGTTGAACTGAGGTAAAACTTACGATCGTCGTAGGAGTTTTTGTTCCCCCCAGGTTTGCCTGCGGGGCGCAACTGTGCCGCCATCCTGGCCATGACCTGCGTCAGGAAGGCGGACGCCGGACAAGGGCGTTCATCTGTTGCAGATGCAGAGAAAGATATTAGGTTTAGTTTAATCAATAGCTAAAATTAACAATTGGTATGGAATTAATAGCTAAAATCAGAAAATCAACGATTGGCATGGAAGAAATTGGTGTCAGTATAAATAATAACTTAAATTAAAAATTTGAATCGATAAAAATTTGTTATTTTTAAACAATTAGTTTATTTAAAATAGAATTTTAGTTTCGAATTAATTTTTTATACCTCAAACGATACATCAATCGTGAATGTAACCAAAATCAATTATTGAGCTTCGGTGAACATATATGAGAAAAATTCAATTAATTACAAACTAAGATGTACTGCAAATAAATACAATAAATAAGATTATTTAGATAACAAGAAAGTCCGGCATGAATATCAATGCAGTTAAATTTCTTTGCTTCTTTCCTGACGCTGTTTCCGTATGAATTTTAGAACTAATACAAGACGGAAAATTATAATAGCGAAAATAATACTAATGGTAGGTAATGATAACAATAATAAATATAATAGTAATAGTAGCAATATCAATAATAGCTATGCTAATAGAAAGAATAATAGGTCCACCATCTACTGCAGAGACGCTGAAGCGACGACGTCTGAAGAACACCACGCCCTGGGAGTGCTGGGGTGGCAGGGAGGCGCTCAGGCCGGTCCTGTGGCACCACTCCTGCGGGGGGAGGAGGCTTGAGGGATTAAAAACTATGTCGACATATCATAGGAATATTATCAGTCGAATAATATGACAAATATTATTATTCCTCACTAACAATGTAATTGATGAATAATTAAGATACCTGCATTTGGTTCTCCAAACAAACGAAAAACAACGAAACGCTTCCTATGAAGATTATGTGAATTTGGTTTTTCAATGTCTTCGCTATTGAACATTCAGATTATGCTTAAAAATCCATTCACTACTATGAGCCACGCACCCGAATCGCTTGCGTCACGGCTCTGAGAAACAAGCCAGGCGCGTCGCTGCTGTAGTGGTCGTCGAAACTCTCGACGAAATCCTGCAGCAGCTGCCGGGTCACCTGATCACAGGACAACAGTCAACAGCCAGTATAACTAGGAAATATAAGGCAAGTGTATGGTTACAGGACCGAGAGAGAAATGCGTCATGTACTTAATGGTTTGAAGATTAGAACAATTTTTTAAATACTTGCATGCCATAACAACACGAGGGAGTGTTTACCTTTTGACAGTAAATTGCATCTTTTTAACCGTTGGCACAAAAATACATATTGAAATTCAGATAGAGAAAATGCATGAAACAAATACGATTTCTCTTAGAAATTTGATTACAATTTATGTGAGTTAGTAAAGGTTTGTAATAATTTGATTAATTTCGTTACTTTTACCAACCTTCGATACGAGTAAATCCCCAAACCAGAGCACCCACGTGTCACTGGGACGGCAGCCGGCAGCGGAGGCATCTGCTATCACAACCTCGACGGCTGAACAGGGCAAGAAAATCAGCTACTAAACACTTTGATTTATGAAAGGCATTTAGAATTATCACAAAGGAAACAAGTTATAGTTATATAATTACAGTTACTTCTTTCAATTCATAGAGAGAAATTACAAATAAATCATTTCCGTATAAATATTTGCTAGTAGCATGTTTATCGACGATTGTCCGCCAGTGTCTGACAATATCGTTTTGTCGGCTTCTGTTTCGATTGACAAAACTGCGAGCGCAGATGTTGAATGCAAGCTATACGCCCAATAAATGTAAAAAATAATTTACATGCTTTATAGTTTGCGAAGGTAACATTTCTCGTCGAACATCTATCTATAGGGATTGCATCTTAATTGGCGTTAAAACGAGCTAATACGTAAGAAGATACAAGATAATAATACCTAATTAGCAGAATGATTAATATCTCACAATGAGAGACGAACCTGGCCAGTGACGATGACCCTTGAGCTTTGCCCACACAAGGCGACCGGGACGATAGCGTTCTGACATCGTCACGAAAACCTAAGATGAATTGTTACTGCAAGCGAAAACTTATTCGAGCAAGCTATAAATAAAACTTCGTGATAAATATGAAAATCACTCTACAGGTCGACGCTGCGTTGGATTCTCGACGTCACATTGTGGTGGCAAAACAACAAAATTGTAAGTAAAAAATTCGACGTAAATTCCGTATACTTCTATCGATTGCAGACAGGCTGATCGTTACCATTTGTTTCCATGAAAAATTTTCGGTCGGACTAGATCAAATCAGCCCCACTGGGTCTATAAATATATCCGTGGAAATAAATAATATTTTAGTAAAAATTTTAATGCATAACAATGATGAAGTCATGGTTGATTAAACAGTCTTCACCAGCAGCGACACGACTACTACACTGGAAGGCTAAGTTAGGTCAGGCACTCAATTCTCAAAATAAAGATTCGAATCGACGACATAAGTTTTTCCCATTGCACATCCAATCTCAGAACTCATAGTTAAAAAAACAAATAACACAGTTATACAAGGCCATTTTTATGTCAAGAATGTTTTATTATCTTCATTGCATCGATAATTTGGCACAGAATTACATGTGTACTCACTGAAGCCACAATCCTGCTCGTGCAGCCCGAGCTCAGTGACCTTGGAGACTAAGCTCGGCCTCAACACACAATTTTCTTTTTTCGAGGGGTAACTATTACGAACAAATGGTCGTTGAGAAAGAATTGAAAACTAGCATTGTTGGATACCTTATAGTATTTTCATTCCTTTTCACGCTGTTGAAAGACAGCAGTTTGCTACTCAAATCGTCACCTAAAATAGTTGCGTTGTACCCTTTTGAAAATTTATCACCTATGAGCCGTTAGAATGCTATCGCTCATATTTCGATCTCGATTAATATTTCAATTAATTTTTACAAATTGCGTATGAACCAAAATCGTACGAAATGAATGGCTGATTAACTACAGTTACATCGGCTAGCCCGTGCGGCTTTAACGGCATTACTAGTTTCATTGTTTGAACTAAATTCGCGGGGCTAGCTAGCCAACTCAGCTCCAGTTGCAAGCGATTCATTAGACCGACCGCGTGAAAAAAATGCAACATTATGTAGGCTGTAGTTATGAAGTGTGAGCCAAGTAGCAGATCACTGAGTATGGGTGATTTAACTTGGGGAAGGGGATTAAACAATAAACTTCTGTGTATGTAATCAATCATTGCATTTGTGCTCATTACCAAGCTCCGAGTTTACCTCGGGGAAGATAATCGGCAGTTAAACGCTGAGTCTCATACCTAATTACTCGTGAGCTTGACCGGCGTACACGCAACAAATTCGCTAGGATCTTATGAAAATGGAACTCTCCCCTGAACTATAAATAGGTTACCAAGGTAAAAAAAATTCGCGTGTATATGTTTGGTCTCATTTATGCTACATGACTAAACGTTTCTTAAAAATATTTTAATAACTAGTTACTCTTAAATTAGTGTCGAAAAAAAAACGACCACAAACTGGGAAAGATTGACATAGTCGAAAGACAGTCTTTCTCACAGTCTTAGAAAGACACAATTGAGAGCATACCGTCAAACGTGTTCCTAATGGCAAAAAAGCTTGTATGTATAAAGCTGAGTTTCGGCTCAATGGATGATGCGAATCATGGGTATACAGAACTATACATTATTCGAATTAAAATCATACAGGGTAAAATAATTGAACTTCATCGGCATCGTAATTATACATGCCTGTCAAAGACAGCACACGCAGACGGGCTTTTACTCAGGTTTGGTTCCTAAGAGAGCTGGAAATATTGACAATAAATGTCAAGCTCAAAAAATGCACAAAATTGATGGAGGTCGTTTGAATTATGTACAAAATACACCAAATTTTCTACCAATTTCCGAATTTAAATCGTGTGCAAAATCCAGCAAATAAGTAAAATAAGAGCTCTTTAAGATAAGGCGGTAGGCTAAGAATCAGACAAAAATTCTGGTTTCCTTGTCCTGGGATGAACTAAAGGTGTCCCCACAAGTACCATAAATATGTGGTTCTGTAAAAGTGGACGAGTCCTTACAAGTACAACAAATATACACAGCAAATCTAATGGAATGCTCTGTTGAGCATCACGTCTTGCATTCGTTCAGAGGTTCAGCTTTGATGCTTGACAGATCCAGTCTTGCTTCCAGTTCTTCGTCTAGCTCTCCAACCAGCGCTCTGCACATCAAAACAAAAATCAACAACTCCACATCCAGCTCTAAAACCAGCGCTCTGCACATGAAAACAATCATCAACTCCTCATCCAGCTCTAAAACCAGCGCTCTGCAAATCAAGTCATCAACTCCATGTCCAGCTCTAAAACCAGTGCTCTGTACATCAAAACAGTCATCAACTCCTCATCCAGCTCTAAAACCAGCGCTCTGCATATCAAAACAGTCATCAACTCTTTGTCCAGCTCTAAAACCAGCGCTCTGCACATCAAAACAGTCAGCAACTCCTCGTCCAGCTCTCCAACCATTGCTCTGCACATCAAATAATCATCAACTCATTGTCCAGCTCTCCAACCATTGCTTTGCACATTAAAACAATCAACTCCTTGTCCAGTTCTCCAACCATTGCTTTGCACATCCAAAACAATCATCAATTCCTCATCCAACTCTCCAACCATTGCTTTGCACATCCAAATCAATCATCAACTACTCGTCCAGCTCCACATCCATTGCTTTGCACACCCAAAACAATCATCAATTCCTCGTCCAGCTCTCCAACCATTGCTTTGCACATCCAAATCAATCATCAATTCCTCGACCAGCTCTCCAACCATTGCTCTGTACAGCAAAACAATCATAGACTCTCCATCCAGCTCTCCAACCAGTGCTCTTCACATCAAAACTATCATTCTAAAATATAATAACATTCAATCAGGTGAAGAATAAATTCAATAATAGCCCATACTGGAAAAATAATGTAACAACACAAAAATATGCACTAACAGAAGCCATAATGCATTGCACTATAGTAGCACATATTGGAGCTACAATATAAAGTTCTCTTAGCAAACACCCAAATCAACAGTAATAACTATTCCCAACACAAATAACATGGATGAAACTTACACATTGTCCCCTCGGATGATATAGAGACCAAGTATGACCTGTTCCACGCCTCTGTTGGTGCTGTATACACGCTCATGGCACTCATCCAGGATGACGTTGATGCTCTGGTCAAAGCCTTTCATAGTGCCCTGGAAAAATTCAAGGAAGAACTTCACAAATACAATTCATAAGAGCAATTTTAAATGATTCATAGATCAATGATGAAAAGGCAGTGAAACACAAATTTCATTCATACACACATCCAAATGCTCAACTTTAGCATCATTTCATGCAATATATAGCATAATGGAGTCATGCACAAGTTATATGGAGAGCATCAGTTATATAAAATATTATGCTAGCAGGATCATGCCTAATTTTTTTGAAGCTAGAGAATTAATAAAGGAGAGTACATACCACAATGTTTCTGCCATCTGATGTGATGACAGATACAACACCTGATAATACTTCATTAAGGAAAACATACAATTTTCAAGAGAAACATGAATGAATACTATGGCAGGATGCAAGTGAACATGGAAATGTACAGAAATCAATACTGTAGTTCTGAGACCAGTACAGAAGAGTTCATCCAATTATAAGATTAACTCAAAGCATAAATTTGTTCATTGCAGAAGCAAATTGGTTCATGAATTTGTCATATAACTTGACTAGTTCACAACTTCACAATGTCAACAAATTTATGCTATGAAAAATTAAATTACAAATATAAAGAAAGAAACTTTGACTTTAATATGATTTGAAACTTGAAAGTTATCAAGGTTAACCAAGATGATATTGCTCCCACCACGGCCCCCTGGGCCCTGTTGGTGTTTGAAGCTACATTATCTATTTCAAGCTTATGCTAAATGCTATTCAGTAATCAACAATCATTTGACCCTAATTTTATTACATACATTATGATACATACCATAGCATCATTCCATAACTTTACCAAAATGAAATTGATGCTCCTTATGTATTTATTGAGAAATGGAAGAGCAATATCTTTCTAGATAATCTATGTAACTTGATGAAATTGAATTTATCAAGTTAGATTTTCACTTACCTAATAAATTATTCAACTGCAAATTATATAAGCCCTATATTATATATATATATGTACTCCTTCAATAGCAAGAATTTAGGCTAGTATATACCAGTAAATCTATCTTTAAATTTTTCATGCTTTCATTTTCATATGGGCCTACTGGTTTGAGGTTTCAGAAATTGAATATGTGCTTTTCATGTTTGCCTGGCATGCTTGCCAAATGCCAGTTGCCAATGCCATTCAGCGGTTCAGCCATTGGGATTGGGCATTGGCGGCCCAGCAGGTGCGGGCATAGTGGCAAAGCAGAGAGTTTTTTTAGACTCTCCCTTGAGTTCATTTTTGAGTCTTATAAGTAGACCAGTAAAGTATCATGGATACCAGCATTATCTTACATAAGAAATTGATTCAAGTCTTGAGTAAATGAAGAAATTAAAAATGAACTGATTCTAAAAATCTCTGGTTTGTCACTATGGGTGCGGGTGCCGGGCCGGGCGATGGGTAGGTTATTAAACTTTTGGCAGGCCACCAAAGACCAAACGTCCAAAGTCCATGCCCCACACTCCAAAGTCCAAGTCTTCACAGGGTTAATGAATGATAGAAGCTAAAGACTAAACTAAAGAAAAGAAAATACATTAATAAAAAATATGTATTGAAAAAATAATTTTCAAAGACTGCACACCTCAAGTAAATAGGCCAGTGTCTCTATTCTAACTAACCACAGTCCACATGACACATGTACAATGAATGAATTTTTTATTCTATTTGTAAATACATAGCTACTAAAAAAAATTTTTCAAACAAATAGAAACATTTTTTTTTAATTTTTCATATTATTTATTCTGTAAATTGATTCATGCATTGTCTCCAATTTTACATAAGTGTACAAACTGCAAAATTTCAGATCGATTGGACAAATAATGAAATAGAAGTGTGTTAAATATCAATTAGGCCTAGCTACCTATAAGATTTGTAGCACACTAACTTCTAAGCTACAGACAAACAAACAGCAAGAAAGAAGTGATGTTAATGAGAACTTGAGAAGTGGTGTAATAATAATAAAAAGGATACGGTTAACAAATGGTTCTAATGCCTGAGTCATCTTCTTTGGGCTTTTGTTGTACGTCGAAGTCTTGTTATACAAGTAAGTTTTTCGACGTTTATTTCCTGGAGACCCGCTGAACGTTTGAAGGTCTTGAGTCGCATAGAAGTTCGAGCGGAATTGTGCGCGGTGGGAGGTGAGGGCATGGTTGAACCAGTATAATATAGTTCAACCATGGGTTAGGGAAATCAATGCACGTATTGGCATGAATACATCGATGCCTGTCCACTTATGAAGGAAATTTTGTCAAATATGGGAATGATTGTAAAAATGTACTCCATTGCTTTTTATATATGCAGTTATAACCTCATTAACATCAAAGCGCAAGTATTGGCGAGAAAATAGAGCAAAAATTACCGGTATAATAATTAGACTGGATGTGGAAGCAGATGATACGAGCAAAACTTCTACCTACATAGGATGATTTAAGGATTAAGTGAATTTCGAATAATAATAAAACTGCCCAGTCATTTAATTACCTTTTAATTTGTTAAAATTTGCCGGTTAAATATAGGGCGCGACAGTTAGCAAGAAAGTTTGAATTCTCGATTTTATAAAAGTCATGTCGAAGAACTGCCGAAAAATAGATTTCCATAGTAGTAGTTTCAACGAATAATTTTTGAAAAGTATGAAAATATAACTTTATTGTATAAATTTTGATTCTCATTTGTGTTCATATACTTTAAAAACTTTATCACAGGTGAAAACAATAAAAAAATGAGAAAATTGGTTAAATAATTAGGACGATTAGCAAATGTGACCTCGAAATGAATTGTGACGACATCAGCTCCAAAGAACTAATGTCCTAAAAACAACTTTCATCAACCTTCACTTTCACTTGGAAGAACAAACACTTGGATAATCAGAGAGGGAAAAATGACATGAACGACAGATGAATTATTTTATTTATAAAATACATGATTGAATTTAGCTTTAACGATTAAGATCGCCAGCCCTCACAGAAAAATGTGAGTAGTAGACTTATGAAATGGATTTTCGAAAAAAACACAAAAATAGAAAATGAAAGTGTAAATAGAAGTAAAATCACTAGAGGGTGACGTAACTGATGAGCCGAAATGTTAATCAATCATTTATACGTAACATTAATTTATTATTTTTTTTGTTTGTTATTATTATTATTATTATTGGTTTTAATGTTTAATTATTACTTTTATTTTGATTTAATTAACGATAGGCATCCCGTACTAAGGATCCGGGTACAAAGGCTCTCGTGAAATTCATATGCACCAAACGATGTCATCTGTAACAGTCAGATTTTAAATGGTTCGTTAAAATGTAAATGTAACTAAGTAAATGTTTATTTGCAATCAACATGAACGCATCAAAAAAATCCTATTATATCCCATTCATCCGCATCACTTTTCCATCCACTTATTATTGTTAGCTTAAAAATAATTTTTTTTCGCAGGTTTGCTTCCATTAGCTTCTGTGATATGGGTGATTCATACAGAATGTCTGTGCGCCAATATAAAATAATATAATATAATATAGGTATATAGCGGTTTCAGCGTTGGCCTGTCGCCGATTCTCAACATCACAGAACATTCACAGCTTGTTGCGGTCTCGAACTCACAACTCACTGCTCTAATTCTGTTGTGCCTGACCACCCGGCTCCCTCGCCGATTCTGATCAGAAACTAAGGCACAGAGCTGGGATCGAACCCGCGCCTCTCTGCTCCAATCTGGTACTCGGAGCTTTAACCACTGGGCCACCTGGGCGCTTTAAACGAAAAGATTTACTGGGACAACTTCTAACGTACATCGATCAGGCCAATCTCACAATACATATTGCAGACGACATATCAGCTATCATATTAGTCCATCTTGCAAGGGGTCTACAGAGAGTAAACGCATTTGACTTTGCAGGTGGCAGGCGTCAGGACGTAGTTTAGAGTAGCCCGTGTACACCGAACTCACGCTACTCAGTCAGGCTAACTCAGCCTCATAGTTTTCTCCTTTAATTGATAAATCAATGAAATATTTATCGCAATTCACAGTGTATTATTGCTACCGCTTTCCCCTCCTCATGCTAATAATTTTAGTTAAAAGGCAATATTTAATGTGGTATCCAAGTTACCGCTATCTTGCCCATAAGAACTTCAGTTTCGTGACAATTTTACCAGGAGACGGAAGTGCTGGAAGTGTTCTTTGGAAGTGTTGTCTTTAAAAATTAATTTTTAGACGCATATTATTTTAACCTCAATCTAAAACCTCATTCGGCATTAAGAAAAGGTTTGGCATTATGACTGGATGATTCAAGTGATACTGTAGGGAGGGGAATTGATCCGTTCATTAGTATTTCAATGCCTCTGGGGTGTTCCGACGCCCCAAGGCACTGAAATACTAATGAAAGGACCAAAGACTGTTCTTTTGGACAAGATAGCGGTAACTTGGATGATCGAATATTGCCTTCCAACGAAAATTATTAGCATGCTGAGGGGTTAGAGGTAGCAATAATACAACGTGAATTGCTGCAATAAATATTTCATTTCGGCTAAGACCTCCAACCACCTCACGACGTATGTCTTCGTCGGCACAGGGATTATTCAAACTCAAAAAAATCTATTGTAGTGCGCCATTCATTTACAGTTACTGAACTGAACCGACGATCGTATTTATTCTAAATTTTCTCTTGTTAAATGTTTGTAGTTTGATTGTAAGTTGAAGTGCACTAGGTTATACATTTGATAAGTTATACATAAGTGACTGTATACCATAGATTGGTGTAGTTCGGCAGGAGTTGTTCTTTATAATGCAGGTTTCATTGAAGACCAGAGAGTATTTCTTATTGAGAAATTTTCGAATAATTTTCAATATTCAGTGAATTAGGCTTTTGATAGGACTTGAAAATTCAAATATCAGGTGTCCAAGGGACATTTTATTATAATTTACGACGATTTGAATTCATCTACATTCATTATCAAATACAAAAGAGTTTTGCAACACTTGAATATGAAATTTTGCAATGACGTTAGTGCAAACATAGGGTATTATGGATACCGATTAAAAATCAAAGCTTTAATTACGAGAACTGTTCCAATGTCCTGACAAATCCGGTAGTTTGTAAATTTATGGCTGGAGACTCGTGCTTGATGATGAGAGCCTCCGCTATCGCCAGTCTTGTGGCGTCTGGGCACCTCTTGACGATGCTGGTGAAGGTCTCCAACACAGTAAAAATTGTCTTTAATATTATTAAATGCAATGCAATAAATTGCTGAATTCCAAATAAATTTTTGCTCGTTATTCAGATAGGACTATGTGCATTGATATCTCTTACTATAAGGCAAAATGGTTTTAATTGAAGGAAACAGGCACCATTGTTATATTATAATTGTTTTTTTTTTTGCGATGTCTGTCTATAGAAAACTGCAAAAGTTTATAAATTTGGATCCATATAAAAAAGTTATATTGTAAGTTATTTATAGGAAAACTCGAGCAAATTTCGGAACGACCTGAGCTGACTATCAACTTCGGAAATTATTAGCTGACATCCGTTACTGTAAAACGTAATGCTGTGCGGAATTAACCGAATTTTAATGGTTTTTACTGAACAATGTTTATAGATTGATATCTGATCATTAGGAAATATCCAAATTATTCTTCAGAAATTCAGAAGTTTAAGCATATTGCTGCAAATTATTGCACCACATTCATAGTAAGAAATGAAATTTCATTTATTGCATTTATAGTAAATATTCACTATCTCCTTGGTTTTCGTGTGCAAATGTGAAGCAAAATTCTGATGATTTCATCGAAAAATATATTAGATATTGACGAACCTTCTGGCTTTCAAGTCGTGTCAGATCTTAAGACAGAAGTTAATTGTTTCTAGATGAACACTGAGCGCTGAAAAACACACATTTTTACCTAACAAAAAAATAGAGGGTAATGAATCATTTTATCATTGTTTTCTCTAGAATTTTCTCCTCTAAACTGAAAAATTTATGAAATTTCACTCATAGGCGATGAAAGTTTCGAATAAGGTAATAAAGGTTTTGTATACTGTATCTGTAAAGGTGATTGATAAAATTCAATATATTTCGTGCGAAACCGGCAGACAACTTTGAGGTCGATTTAATTTCCCTTACTGCATGAAACCTGCCGTGCCCCACCAGACCACGGATCGAACATGACTTCCAGGGTATCGTTAAATCACGTAACTTTTAGCTCACGGTATTTGAAGTTAGGTTACAGACAGCATAGTTCTGTTCAAAAATCTATCGTCCATCGACGAGTGGCCGTTCGACCGCGCGTGGGCTGATTTGATGCAAAGGATGAATACGGACAGGTTGGTGGCGGGTTCACTCAAAGGATGAATACGGACAGGTTGGTGGCGGACATCACTGCAAGGCTCTGGCGCGCTCTGTCCGGGTGGCGCAGAATTTTTTTGCTCATTGGTAGACGATGCTGGGCCATACTATAGCAGGCTGTTTTCCTGTGGGCTGATTGGTTTATTTAAATGGATTCGATCTGTCAACCGGCTTGCGGCTGATAATGTGATGGTCCGGAATTGTTTGAGGCTACGTTATTGAGGGAAGGAGTCATGCCGAACAGAGATAGTCCATGCCGAACAGAGCATGGTCTCCGACCGGTGTACGAGCCCGAAAAGTCCCTATATATTTACGGTGCCGGGTTTCAAGCACACAAACTTGTAAAAATATTTAATGTATTATCTTGAGATACTAGTACAAATTGAATCCCTCTTCAGGATTTAAAGTAGTCTTGAGCAAAGCGGGGGATTATCGTTCCTTTAATTTCTTAACACTTCGATATCACTCCCAAAACTTGGGCTGGTTTTGTTTCCATCAGTAGCGACGTTTGCTCTCGTGCTCACGAAATTAGTTTCTTTTAAATTACGTTCAATAGTCGCTGTCGTCTTGAAAACTCCACGTCGCATGGAGGTAGCCGGAAAATGTCCAGCTTTTTCACTTGACAGGGAAAAGCTTAGGTTTCTTTTCCGTTCTTCGATCGTCGAAAAATGATTGTTTCTCACTAGACAGTTTCCCGGTGACCGGTTGGCACTCTCTACGACCCTGTTGCTAGGAGGAGAATATGCCCCGCTACTTATCCTGGCCATAGTGATATCATTCCGTTTGTCCCCGTCAGATCTCAAATTAGTTTCTTTGCATCTTTTACTTTGGCTTTTCCCTACATAAAGTCGTTGTCGATGATGATGGCGTTCAGCCAGCTCCAGTTCCTCCTCCAGGGACTCGCGATCCATAAAGTATAGCTGGAGATATCGTCTCATGTTCGAGACTTGCTGCGTCATCTGTAGGGCGGTTTAAATATATTTTCAGGCAAAATTCTATATCTTTGTACCAATGAAATACATTTTTATTCATTGGCGTCAGATGTGGCTGATGCAAAAACCGAAACTAATGGTATTGGGTATCAGGGTAATGGAGTTTCTATAAAGAGAACCATGCAGAAAGCTAAGCTATGTTTTCAAAAATACACTCAATTGGGAAGTAAAACCCAACCATGTTCGTCATGCCTCACAAGTCAAACGCTACAGAATGCAAATCGTGTCCATAATTTGTAAATAATTAATTAAACATCTAGAGTGAAGCAGGTACAAGTGAAAATCCCTGTAAATTTACATAATATTTTCGCAAATCGGTCCCTGGTTTGTATCAATAATAAGACATGATAACGTAGGGTAAGATTCTTCTCACTTCTCTTGCCAGGGAGATGACGAGGACGACAGGGTACACACACGTCATGGCTACCACGTGCATCCAGTGCGCTGTCACCTGAGATGTTAATTATTATGTGATTTAATTATTTTGTGACAATTTATTTTTTTTATTATGTGACAATTTAACAACAGAGAAAATTACAGAACAACTACGACATCTTCTGTAGAGATATTATATATTCTATAAAGATGTTATATCTTCTATAAAGATATATCTCTTTATGATAAAGATGTGAAATCTTCTATGAAGAATTAAAAGTTTCAACATATCTTTTACTAAGATATGTTGAATTTTTGTACGAGTTTTTTTTTTACTTATGAAAATTCAGTGCATGAATACGCGATTCAAGCGATCGAGTGACATTAGCTATAATGTGGTTATTGGCAACCCATACCGCATGGGTCGTGCTATGCTTAGTTATATTGTGCAAACTAAACTAAAAACAAAGAATTCGTATTTGCTGTTAGGAGTCAGTTACGATCACGTCAATCGCTGTATTGAAATGCATCTGCAATGCAATGCATCTGAATAGGACAGCGTATAATCTCCGCAGACTTTTTATTTAAAGAAAATTTTTGGCAAATAACTAACGTGTTATACTTCGCATTGTGGAGGAGGTGACACGAACAATGTTATAGGTCAATAACGATACCCTTACTGATTATTAGTTTTTTTTTTATAAATTTCAAAGGAAAGCAAAGCCTCGCAACTCCATTAATTCAATCATTTACGAATTTTAAGCATCCATTTCAAAGGTTGAAAAACATAAGATTAAATAGATAGCAATTATTGAATTTCAAACAACGTAAATACTTTGATTGTGTTTTAGATGCTTTTTTAACGCGCCGCTCTTGCGTCATAAAGCGATCTGTTACAATGCCATTGAATGATCGGGTCGCGTTTTTTGCGCCATGGGGCGCCCCATGCAGCGAAACCAAAGTAAAATCTTATTGTTCTTTGTGCTCACAGAATCTGTTATATTGTTAATATTCTCTGTTAGCTATTGTATTGCTAATATTCTCTGTTAGCTATTGTATTGCTAATATTCAATAGACATTCTCTACAATGGGCGCATCGAACATAGTTCGCTATGTGTCCATGCCTCGTACAGATACGCTTTACTGAAGTTGCAAGACTTATAACTTGTGAGAATTTCATTTTATAATACAAGCGATACGAGCTAAAAGTTGAACTTCTTCAGAGATGGTAAAGTAATATAAATAAAAATTTCAATTTCTACGTTAAAACCGTTATCATCAAAGTTCTTTTACGTTATTCTACCTAATTGAATGAACACGGGACGTCGGCCGCCCGCACGAGAGAGACAGAGAAGGGAAATGTAAGGAATCCTGCCTACATAATAACTTAACCCCACAACTGAGACCAACGGTCAGGCACCGCGAGCTCAGCGGTGGGGCGCTCAGGAACAATCCCCCTAGGAACGCGAAATCCCATAGAACTTCTGACGAGCACAGACACACGTCAGAAGTCCCCCCTGTGGGGTGTTTTTCGATTAGTATGAGCCTGGGTCCTCTTGATAAATGATGCGATTGTTTCGAATATAACAGATATAATGAATTCAGGTTCCACGTAAATGATTGATATGAGTTATGAACTTCATGTTAAATGATTGATATGAGTTAGAAACTTCATACTTAATGATTGATATGAGTTATGAACTTCATGCTTAATGATTGATCATGAACTTCATTCATCTGCTTCATGATGAAGCATATGAATGGTCATGGTCTGATGGATTAGTAATAGCTTTTATCAATATGTGCTCCTAGAAGGCTTACAGAAAAATGTAGCGGGATCTGTCTAGAAGTAGCGCCCAGCATGAGGAGCATGTGGTATGGCGTGAGGAGAGCCTGGCTCAGTAGTACGGCAGCGCACAGCCACAGTACAGTGCCAGACGTGTGCATCATCTGTGGCCGGATGACCGTTCAAATTATTATTTATAATATATCCAAATAAGAAATAAATTACGCGCATTATATCCTAAAATGCAAGGCATATTAAGTTTTTAGGGAAGCGGCTGGTATAAGGTATTGCTTAGTAGCCATTTATATAATTTTTTTTCAGATGCGAAAATCCTTAACGTTTGCTTGCTTCTGTTTTGAAACAATCGAGACCGAGCTAAAAGGTGTCTGTACACGGGGACAGTACTGGCGGCAAGTAGATCTGACAAATGCCAAATGTCTGCCGCTTTGTGTCTATCCCGCAAGGCAAGTTTAGGCAAGTTTGTTTATCCCCTCGGCAGATATCCCGAGGCCAGTTTAAGGTACCGTCGTGCCGGTAACGACTGGATACCGGCACGGCGGCACCTTAAACTTGCCTCGTGACTTGCGGGATAGACACCAAGCATCAGACATTTGGCATTTATCGGATTTACTTTCCGCCAGTACTGTGCCCGTGTACAAGCATTTTAAAGTCAGGCGTCCATCCAACTATCCGGAGACCCAAAGGTGCACTCAAATCCACACCTACTTTCCTTGACATGAAAACCTAGAATTTATTGGACAACTCCGAAATGAAACTCGAATGACTGAAACTGTCGTCAAATTGAAGCGATATACATTTAACTATGATGTTTACATGTCTAAGTCAAACAATATCACATCGTCTGGTTTGAAGAAAGAGGTTTGATCGATTTTTGGTGCTTTAATTTTTAGATTTGAAGTTTTGTTTCATCTATTATATATTTCAATATTTATAAAACTTCGTGTATTTGTTTGAAACTCCAAAATGGACATAAATATAAGTGCTATTCGGGCGCGTGTATGCGGTAGCTTTCCTATTGAGGAATTATTAGCGGATAAAAAAATTATTTCCAACGATGGGAACTCGAAAAGAGCAGAGAAGTTCAAGAAATAGAAGAGATCAAAGAACCTTTAAATTTCAAAACGGGAGTTTTGTGGGATTTACATGCTGCATGAGAGTTTGAGTGGCTTGGTCTTTCCTAGTGGTTGAGATCGCCCAAAATGGAGCAGCAAGTAGCTAGTAGGGGACCCGTGGCTAGCAGCACAATATAAGGCTTCAAACACAAAGTTTCTGGAATTTATACCAGATGTGAGGAGCCGGGTTAGCCGTTAGCCCTTTTTCATGAGGTAAACTGGCCTCACTGGATTAACATGGCATGTATTATTTAAGCATCACGCCACGTAAACTTGCCAGACTTGACTGCTACTTAACACTTACAAGTTCCCGATCATTGACGAGTTTAACTTCTAATAATGAACGTGCTAACTACACGTGCCCTCACATGCGACATGAGAGCGACCCTGACGCTGCCGCGTGCAGCGTGTACGACAACTTTAGTGACGAACACTGCCGACAACACCACTGGCAGCCCGATGTAGGCCACCACGTGGATGCCGGCGTACGATAATACGTGGCGGGAAGCTGGGTCAATGAAACACACTCCCAGGTCTGAAGGGATATAAAAATGTTAGTTGACCAGAGTAGAAGCTGTAGAACTAAATTATTATTCAACTCTTTTTATGTGTTTATTGAAGGTTGGACATTTTAAATTAATTTAATTATATTCTAATTTTTTTCTATCACTGTTTTTAGAACGCTTACATCAATTTGCTCCAAAACTAAAATGAGATTACCTTGCACTTTTCAGTTTCCTCTATTATGTCATACAAAAAAAATTCTAAAACAAACCTTCCAAATGTGTGACGATTATAATTAACACTATAATCCTATACATACTAAAAGACGTCCTAAGAGAGACCTCTAGCGAGAAGAGCTCACTCTGTAGGTGCGTGTACCGCGCCCATCCATATATGGGACCGCTCACTTCCACCAGCATCAGCACCAGCAGGCCCGCCATGATGACGTGCAGGTTCAGTAAGGAGAAGGTGAGTGCGTGTTCGTGGGCCGACATTACTATGAAGAATCTGAGTGGAACACAATCAAATGGGAAAAACAACAAAGTTTCTGGTCTACGTTATCAAAATATTAAATTGATCATGTGTTAGGAATAAGCACCCACGTGTAACATTGTTAAGAAAACGCACCATAGTATATCTTTGTTAATAAAATCTGTGTAAATTTTAATACTAGAAAAATGAATTTCGAGAAACATTGTACCTTACAACAGCATTTTTTCCAAGCTTCAAATACAAAAGTGTGACAAAAATATATTATGAAAAACATGTGTATGTGTGGAATAACATGAAAACAAAAACTTTGTGTATGGCAAGGTATGATATTTTGGAAATATATGTTACAAATTTTCAAATTGATGCATGGAAATATTTGATATATAGAAAATAAATAACAAATGAAAAATATGATAAACTTTAATAGGATGACGATAGAGCACCTCTCGGCAGCGAGCAGCCAGGAGCACCAGACGAGGGTGAGGGAGAGGAGGTTCAGGAGGAGAGCCTGCGCCTGACACGCGTGGTGGGCGAGGGGGAACTGACCTGAACAGGGGGAGAGGGAAACATTTTAACTTCATTGAACTTATTATAAAATATTACAAATTGTCTTGTTCGGGAAAACGTCGGTGCGCTGGGGAAAAAGTCCATGTAAAAAGTCTCTATGTCAGAAACGGAAAACATTTTCAGTTTAGATTTAGTACTAGATTTAAAATGTTACATAGATGACAAAGTCATAGAAGAAGGTTCAGGAGGAGAGCCTGCGCCTGACACGCGTGGTGGGCGAGGGGGAACTGACCTGAACAGGGGGGAGGGAAACATTTTAACTTCATTAAATTTATGATGAAATATTATAAATTCTCTTGTTCGTGAAAATGTCGGTGCGCTGGGGAAAAAGTCTGGGTGAAAAGTCCCTAGGTCAGAAAAGGAAAACATTTTCAGTTCATTAAGCATAGGCTACTGTAAGATGAAATATGATAAATTTTACTAGATTTAAAATGTTACATAGATGACAAAGTCATAGAAGTACGTTATAGGAAAAAAATGTATTTAGTCGTTATGTTTTTAATATTATTTTAGTATATTTAGTATTATTTTCGATAGGATTAGTGCGAGCATGCTGGTATTAAGCTGCATTTGGCTTACTAGCATATATATGGCCAAGTTCTATATTAGTATTATTAGTATTACTTTTATTATTAGGAAATGTATTATTTGCCTATATATGACTAAGATTAAGTAATGTCAAATTGAACAGAAAGCAGGCTTCGCGTTTAGATTAACCGGAATTATATTACAAAAATTTCATCGAACGAAACTCACGGGATTTTCGTTATTTATTTATTTATTCCTCAAGTATGAGATCTTCAGCCATCACCATTAACAGGAAACAAGTTCTTTGAAAAGATACAATACAAATTTAATTGATGATACAGACAATGCTCTGACTCTGGATCTATGATACAGAAAATGCTCTGAATCTTTTTCAAGTTCACGCATCAAAATGCGATTACAATCAAATAAAATAACCAGAATTTGTGATACCATCCAAGTCAACAAGTAAAAAAATTTTAACATGAAAAAAATCCACTCAGATTTGCTCCTAAATTGCCTTAGAACGGAAGAAACTTTCCAACTGTAATTAAGTGGAGTTTTGAGCGCGAGAATATCAATGATGGCAGACTTTTCTCTGAAGAACGGAGTTCTTTTGACAACTTCTGGTCAGAATTTTCTCTTGCTTTGAATGGAAACATGCAGCGGTTAATTAGATCGACCACATTAATGCAGCGGTTAATTAGATCGACCACATTAATGCAGCGGTTAATTAGATCGACCAATAAATGCAGCGGTTAATTAGATCGACCACATTAATACAGCACTTAATTATATCGACCACATTAATGCAGTGGTTAATTAGATCGACCACATTAATGCAGCTGTTAATTAGATCGATCACATTAAAAACTTTGTATACTCATTACCAACTCCGATAATTGCCCGACTTCCGCTCGTCAAGAAGCCTTACGTAAATGTGTATCTAGTACATTTGGTTGAGTCTACACTCAAAGAACTTAGTGAGATGGTCGGAATAGCGATGCACTTTTTGTTCTCATACAAGTCATCCAGGCCTCAGTTAGGTCTGGCAAAATATTGTGTCAGTGCAGGAAGTGTCACTATTTGCACAATATGACCATTTATTTATCTGTGTATCAGCGATGCCGGCCATCGAATGCTGTGATCGATATCTTAAGAAAAGTTAATACTACGTGAACGATTACTTCGAAACTCCATTGAATTTGTTGGCTGATCGTTAACGTTCCAGATTGAAGATGTGGACTTCGTAAAAAATTTTTTGTGAAGAGCTCCATAACATGAATGTATTTAGTGACTTCAATGTGGAATATTGCACTCTAAGTTTAGTTTGTATAATGTTTCTGCTGGAACTTTCTTTTCCTTGTTTTCTGGTTCCTTTCACCTTCTCTCTCACTGTTCTACGGTAAACATTCAATTTTATTTTACGGTTTTACAAAAGTGTTGTTTACTCTGTTGAATTATAAAATATATTGATTTAATTGATTTAAATAAATTATTATTAATGTAAATTAATTATACATTAATACAATATTGATAAGATTGCATCTTTGTAGGTGAAGGATGACATGAAAAGAAGCAGCAGATGCGCTTATATCTAACGTATATGTCATTTTGCACGACGATATTTCAGGAGTTGACGCAAATTATTAAAATATTTTCTGGCTTCTTTGCGTTCGTATTTTAGAGTTTTGGCTTTGGACTCGCCAGCATCTAAGTAATTTTTAATATTATTGCTATATTATTAATTTTAATAGTTCGGTACAGTCTTTACATCAAACTATTATCAAAAAGTCAACAGTCTAAATTTCTGGAAGCTTGCAAATATATGACAATAAAACAGCATATTACAATATATAATAATATACTGTAGAGTGAGCTCTAAAGACTGGTGCATTATTGACACGTACGGCGCCGGTTCTAGATATCAAAAAGAATCTTACAGGTAGCTGAGTGTCAAACCCGCTACGCACTGACGTAGTCTTGATGCTCTTAACAACTTAGCCATTCCGTCTTGTCGTTGAAATAATTAATTTTGCAGCAATAAAGGCATAAAAAATCAAGATCAAGTAGCGTAATAACTTGAGTGAATCCTAAGCAACATACTTCTTCTTGTGTAATATGGGGAATTATATGTTCTTTCAGATTCTTCCTAAAAAATACTTACAGAAAAGAATGGGTGCAGTAATTTTTTTCTCTTCTAGAAGTGTATGAGCAAAATCTGAAGCGCAAAAAACTGTTTCGAGACCAACAGACACATTTGCAATTTGTAAAACTACAAACTTAAATTGAATTTTCCTAGAACTTAAAACAACCTCAAAGCTGGATCATTTTCTTATTTACAGAAATAAATTATTAAATATTACATTGTAATTACATTATATGATGATATAACCATCATACTAATTGCTCACCAATACTGCCAAGATATAAATTGCAGAAATCGCCTTTTCTTCCCGCCATTTGTCTAAAACCAATAAAACTGATTTCTTACTTCAATATCCACGTTTTTCAGAAATTATTTACTTATTTGGGTCTAAACAAGTTTGACTCGGATCCATAAACTTAATTTCTGGAATCGATTAAATTCTCGAGTGAATATAAAATAAAGTTTGCAGCTCAGGATATTAGTTGTCCGGATTTAGTCTCGATTAAAATATTTGTAATTGATTTCTGATGAAGAATATACTTGACCAGATCATCAAGAAATACATAATACATACAATATTATTTACATCTAAAATGTTAACCAGCTTCACATTGAAGGAAGAACTGCATATTACGTTAGCTAAGTGTTTTATAAATGGAAAATATTATTATTATAAATATTATATTATGCAAAAGGTTTGATATTTCAAAAGAAGTTCATTCAACTCGACAGTTGAATGAACTTCTTCATTCAACTCCAGACGTTCATTTGAGCCGGCCAACATTAATTACGGGTACAAATACCAGCTTCGATTTTCTCTTCTCTCAAAACGAGGTTACAGCAAATACGCTTAATTTTAAAATAGATCGGCCTCGTCAAACTAGGCTTATTTTGCGAGTTTACTTTTAGATTTCTGCATTCATTTTGCGTTGAAATATAGTACGTGATCCAGGCAATAATTTACGTTTAGTTATGGAATTATGTCTTTATTAATGACTGATGATATCAAGTTGGAATGTCAGAGATGTCAATGATGGTCCAGGTTATCCACTGTATGCTTAGAAAATGTCGTGGAAAAATGTTTTTTTTTTTACCTATTGTGCCCAGATTTAAATACCATCGATTTATTTATTGGTGCCTGAAGGCCTGGTAACGAGCGTTACCGCCCGTAGACTAAGGATAATCTTTTGTGCTCGGTTAGATTAACCGTCGTCAACGCTATTCGTACCTAAACGTCGTAAGTCAAGGTCGTTATAGTTAAGACCTTAACCTAAATTCATACATAAATTTACCGACTGTTACTGATGTATACAGGTAAATGATATACAGGTTTATGATGCGCTGGTGGTTGAAGCACAGGGTAATAAAGTAAATGTTAATGATGTTCAATTAATGCTGCACAGGTTAATGTGAGACAGATTATTAATGCACCGGATAATGATGGACAGGCTGCATAATAAGCTTCAAATGCAGTCAAATGAAGTGCATCACTACACACTAGGGATGTTCAGTAGGATTTCGGAGGATTTTTTCAGTAGGATTTCAGTACACTACAATTGTTCAGTAGGATTTCGGAGCTCGTAGTAAAATGCCAGGAGGGTGAAATACGAAAGCATGTATGTTTCATTTCTTAAGATTTAGAAAATTAATGTCACCATTCAAATTCCACATGACGAAAAGTATTTATCCCATCCTATTTCGATTAAATACCAGGTATTTGAGCGTCGTTATCACCGCCCGCAATAAACGTAGCTCGAGCTGCGTTCGTCTTCAATCTGCGCAAAAGTTTTCGTTGACCGCTAAGACGCAACTTTTTGCCAGACTTTTCCTTTAAAGTTAACGTGGAATTTACGTAGTTTAGGTGTTCAAACGAAGCTGGCGTCACATCATTTACTGGCTGGTCAAGTAAGCCATGCTACCACCATGATAACGTCGATCTGTTTTTTGCTTGACTAAAGTGGTAGTGCCATTATTACCTCACTAAAGTGGTAGTGTCATTATTACCTCACTAAAGTGGTAGTGTCATTATTACCTCACTAACGTGGTAGTGCCATTATTACCTCACTAACGTGATAGTGCCATTATTACCTCACTAAAGTGGTAGTGCCATTATTACCTCACTAAAGTGGAAGTGTCATTATTACCTCACTGAAGTGGTAGTGCCATTATTACCTCACTAACGTGGTAGTGCCATTAGTACCTCACTAACGTGGTAGTGCCATTATTACCTAACCAAAGTGGTAGTGCCATTATTACCTCACTAAAGTGGTAGTGTCATTATTACCTCAC